CGCGCCCATTGGCCGCCAGGCGTTTTGGGGGATGTCACTCCCCAGCAGGCGACACCTTGGAGCTTGATTAACGGGAATTAATTGTCGCCCGGATCCCCGCGCTTTCCGGGCGGTTTCCGCCCTCTTTTGCTGTCATTATGCCGCTGATGGGGCTCTTAATGGGATGATTAGCCGCGGAGAGAGGGGGGGTGTGGGTTGGGTGGGTTGTCGAGGGGTTACTGCTTTCTGCGCGCCTCCCCCCGCAATTAGCTGATCTGCCGGTCCCTCCCGAACACGGAAAGTTTTGCTGGGCGTTAAAATTAAAGAAAAAAAAATTACGAAAAAAAAAAGAGAGACAAAAAAAAGAGGAAGGAAAACACTGAAACCCTCCCCAAACCCCCGGCACTGAGGCGGCTTTTCTGAGCCCGAGATGAGCCTCGGAGCTGCGAATTTCGTTGTGTGCCCTGGAAATCGGTTGAGGCGGAGCAGAGGGTTCCACGGGGCCGCCGGGCAGCCGCTCCCCCGGYCCAGCGCTGCCGGAGCGGCGGGGACAGGGCATCGCTCTGCCCGTTCTGCCAGCGCCCGGCGGCGGTACCTACTGGTGAACTGGGCAGGGACCGCATTCAGGGAGGATTTTTTCTGCCGTCAATCGCGTTTTARGTAAAAYCCCGATGKCCTCAGGCCGGGCTGCCCCGTTCTGCCCCTTTCTGCCGGAGATACCAACTTTCCTCCCTCCCGCCCCGTCGCGGGGTTTGCTGCTGTTGGTCTCCCAGGCTGGAGAGGGACAGGCTCACGCAGGATTCCCACCTTCCTCTCGGTCAGACTGGCTGCTGTCTYCTCGAGGGTTTATTTAGGGGCTTTTCCCGTGGATGGACCCCTCGCCGCGGAGACGGGAAAACGTCCACACCCGGGYGCGTGAAGCTGCGTCACTTTAAAGCGATGTCGCCGGTTATTTCTCAAATACTCGTTTTCTTCTGTTCCCCACCTTCCCGGCCAGTCAGCTGCATCTTGTCCCTCTTCCAAAGCCGCCCTTGGCCGGCAGCTTGGAGGCGACCAAGGAGCGGCGATTCCCCCCTGGGGCAGCCCGGCTGCCAGCTGTCGGGCAGCGGCGCAGGCAGGGCCCCCAGCACCTCCTGCCCTCGGCCCTGCAGGCTCGGGGCCGGCTGCGATCGGGGCAGCGGAACAAAAGAACCTCGGAAGAGGACAAACCCAGCAACAAAATCAGCAGCGGCCCCGGTGCCAGCCTGCCCCCAGCTCGGGGATGCAGCGTGCCCGTGCTGGGCGCTGCTGGTTCTCCCTGTCCTTGGGTGGTGATTCCTGCTGCTCTGCCCCGTCTCCCTCCCAGCACAGAGCACCGGGGCCCAGGTCCGTTTGGCAGAGTCCACCATCCACAAGGCTGGGCCAGGTGTCACTTTGGACTGGAGCAGAGCAATGGATGTGCAGGAACTGGTCCCAGTGAGAAATGGGGTTTGCCATGTCCTGTTGGGGTTTGCCAGCTCTTTGCAGTGTTTGTGTTGGTTCTCGGGCTCTGACAGCCTCACTGTTCAACCAGGAGACCACATTCGGGTTGGAAATTTGCAGTAGGATCAAGACTGAGGTTGTATTTGGGACCAGGAATGGGGCTGGGAAAGGCAGCAGGGCTGGGAGTGGGGTTAGAATGAGGATTTGGATYAGCCATGCAGGGACAGATTTGGGCTGGTGAGTCTTGAATGAAGCACCTGCCTCCAACTAACCACAAGGAATTCCCCAAATCAGACCAACTTCCTGATGTACACGATTTTGAGGGGTATTTTTGTGTGGGTACAGTCCTCATCCCAGAACAGGCCTTGGGGACAGAGATTGTCACTCCTAGGCCACACTTGGAGCTCCCAGCAGATGCACTTGCTACTCATGTTCTAATGTCAGTGGCTGACTTTTGTGTCATTATTATTATTACTGCTACTGATGTTATTGTTTTTATTAAATCTAGTTGTTTCAGAACTAGATGCTCCAAGGCAGAAATGTGCCCCATTCTGCCCATTTGTTTTGTCCTCCCCACATCACCTGACACGGGACAAGTGGGGTTCCAGTGATTTGTCTGTGGGTCCCAGCACAGGTAGGAAATCCACCGAGCAGTGCACACCCCTTCCCTCTGTGTGTCTGTCTGCCTTAAACCCCATTTTCTAGACTGTTCCTGTGCACAAATACATCAGTCAGGGGGAGATCCCTGATGCCAACCGCATTTCCAGTCRCCTCCTCACAAGCCCCAGCACAATCCAGGGGTGGATTTAGGGCAGTGACAGCTTTAGGAGCTGCTGTTCTTCACACCCCGCTGGACGGGGCTGGGCTCTCCTGGTCCGTCACCAGCACGGGTTTGGCTCCGGGGCTGTGGGACGGGGCTGACCCRGGTGTTCCCAGAGGTTTTGGCTGCGGGACACGTCCCACAGCTGTGCCCGGGGCTGTGCTGGGCACCGAGCAAGAGTCAATGCAGAAATATCTGCTGGTTGATGCACAGCCCGGTGTCCCGGACGGCTCTGGCTGAGGAAGGAATTCCCGGGAGGCTCCGCCGCACGGATTTTCCTCCCGAAGGCCGGCTGGGCGCTCCGCAGGGAGGGATGCTCGGCAGCGCCAGGCTCCGCTGGGATGCTCCGGTAACGACAACAGGAGAGAGAGAGAGGAGGGCTCGGGGAGGGGGCAAACGGCAGAAAGCGGGGCACAGAGAGCCGGGGAGGAGCCGGCCCGGCGGCGGGGAAGCTGCAGCAGCGGTAGAAGCGTTACCGGTGGGTGTCACTGCAGGACAAGGAGCGTCCGCGGCGGCGAGGGGGACTCGGGACCCCGCACGGGGCTCTCGGGCAGCGGGGATGGGCTGGCTCACGGCTCGGCTGCCTCTGGGTCAGGTGGGGAGCGCTGGAGAGTGGGCGGGGACCGGGGACAGAGAGTGCCCTGTGCCCCCCGTGCAGCCCCGAAACTGGGAAGGGACATTTGGGRCAAACCTCGCCCAGGATTCGGGGGCAGTGAGGCAAATCTGTCCACTCCAAGCCCTCTGAGAGGTGTCTCCTGAACGCACTGCGTTTATTCTGCTGATGATTTTGGGTTTCTCTCTTTGCTGGTTCCCAGGGCCTGTCCCA